TTTTACTCTCACGGCTTTTAGAAGACATCCCTCCAACCTTCTACTCTCACGGCTTTAGAAGACATCCCCCCCCCCACCTTTTACTCTCGCGGCTTTAGAAGACATCCCCCCCCACACACACAAACATATAAAAACAAAACTAAAAACCAAATAAAAAAAAACAAACCAACAACTTGTTTTGACCTTATCGGTAGAAACAAAATCAGTTGATGAAAACACAGTGACGAGATGGACCTTTTATTTTTGTCTGTTATTTAATTAGATTAAAAAAATATCCACATAAAAAATATAAACATAAAAAAATATCTACATAAAAAAAATTTCTACATACAAAAATATATACATAAAAAAATCTAAATAAAAAAAATTTCTACATAAAAAAAATATCTACATAAAAAAATTTCTACATAAAAAATATCCACATAAAAAATATCTACATGAAAAAATATCTACAGAAAAAAAATATCTATCAAGTGTTTATGTTCATTATTTTTTGTTTTGAAGGTAAGTTGATTGATCTTGGGATTCTATTACATCGCGTTGTTTATATGAACCACTACATCACGAATTGTAATCGTTGGATCCTCGATGAGGATAATTAAAGGTCGCTGGATAAAAAAAAAAAAGAAAGGTTTGCAATGATCACCCTTTCGCTCGATTTTTATCTTATCATGTACCAAGTACATAACAAAAAGATAAAGGAAGTAATAATAAAAAAAAAATATATACTTTAAATTTGAAGATTAGCCTACCTGAATTCCAAGAATAGTAAAGCTAAATTAAGATAATACAAGGTTTGTGGGCGTTGCGACTCAAAGCTCCCTCGGCAGATGCAACACCTGTCAACCATATGAGGGATTAATACGTAATGTACTGGTCAACGAACCCGTGCTTTACTACGATGCTGGACCGCTGTGATTCAATCATCCACTAGGGACTATTTAACAGTTTGAAAACAATGTTTTAAATGTCTATTGCCCCCCTCCCCGCACCCCGCACCCCCCAACCTTTCATTGAGTCAGAATAAATAGAAATGGAAAAAAAAATAACGTCAGGTAGGTTGCTTTAAGAAGGAGAGGATTGTCGAGTCTTCAGATGTTATGTTAATTCTCAAGTTAACGTCTTCTTCAAAACATCTACCCCTTTCATCAAAGCCGCATAACTCTCTAAATTTCATTACTTTTCAAACTATGGTTAGTAATTAATCTATTCAAAGTCGGGCCAGTTACAATTTTTTTTTAAACCCCCGCTACCTCGTAACCTTTTATTCATTCAATTTTCCTGTCTTTTTGATTCAAGTCTAAGTCACTGACGCTATAAGCTGCGTTGTAATTTTTATTTTATTGATACCAGCTGTCTTCAAAAAGATGACAATATCCTTTAAAAAAACAACAACTATTTTTGATGAGTTCCATCTAAAGAAAAGTTCACGACTCGTTTTGTCTCAAATTATGGTCGTCACGTGGGCCTTACAACCCATGCGTGTATCGGGGATGTAAGGGGGCACAAAGCTTTGACAAGGAAATAAAATTAAACTATCAACTTTGAATGCAGAGGGCCATCGATCCGAAGGGTGGCAGGAAAAGGGAGGGGGGGGCGGGCTAAAAAAAATCGCTTGATTGATACACCCCCCCCCCCCGAATCCGGTTAAAATCTTTAAATTTTAAGAAATTTGTGCTAACGCTTAATTTAGAAAATTCTTTCCCTTTTTANGTTTTAGGCATGGATTTTCGCAATTAAGAGTTTATCCTCAAATGACTGTCTCCCTTAGCGCCAGTGCATTCCAACTTTCCGCTTGCATTTTAATTCTTTTAACGTTAGCATAGCGTCTCAGCTTGATTTGAGTACACAGCGGAAGGTTTCAATGAACTCGTTTCTCTATTTTCAAGCTTTAACTTAATTATTATAACCGGGACTTTTTTTTTTTTTTTTTGGTCTCACCTCTCCCATTATCACACGACGAAAGTCGGTCAAAATGCCGCCCTCTTTGATGGTAACCATCTCAGGAAAAATATTCAGGGTGAGTTATGTTCCTTAACTCGTTCCCGTCTGCCCCTCCAACATTTCGATTTGTATAGAATTTTAGACTTATTTGAAGATCACATCAACAATAATTTTTAAAAAAATAATAAAAGGTTCTTTTTTCTATAAGGCTCTGGGCCCATATAAGGCGCGCGGCCCATATAAGGCGGGGGCCCATATAAGGCGCGGGGCCCATATAAGGCGCTGGGCCCATATAAGGCGCTGGGCCCATATAAGGCGCGGGGCCCCAAGGCACGTGCCTTATTTATTTGCCTATAGGTTAATCCTGCACTGAATTCATCTATAAAAGCACAATTTAAACTTCTTCTCTGACGTAGCGCCCGGCCTCGCCTTAGGGACCACCACTGCACACCTTGTCATTATCTTTTTTTGCCTAGCCTTGTATATTAATAGATGCTTAGGTTTAAGTCACATGGTATACAATGGTTGTAATCATGGTAATAAAAGATAACATGACAATATGATACGCCCATTTACTTCGAGCTGATTCGTGATGACTGCATGATCAGGGTAAAGCACACACAATAAGGACAAGAAAAAGTTTTAGCGACAATGAATACCCTGATTGTATTAACAGTGTTTGTCACACTAATTGCATCTAGCCTTGCTCAATCCAAGTGTGTTTCAACGTCCAACTGCCGTTGTATGACAGGCGCTAACTCTTTCATCGACCTAAATAAAATCACAGAGAAGTGAGTTGAGATTTATTTTGGATTGTTTTGTAGAAATATTTAATTATTGTTTAAAAATACTATTCTCTGTCTTTAGCTGTTAAAGAGTTTAATTCCTTACATTTACCATTCACCGATACTGGGATGCCCTCCCACATGGATGCCTATACTGCCAAAGGCTCTCACTCAATCTGTTCTGAGGTCTTCGCCATTCTCTCAAAGTCCATCCATCGCAAGTTGTTACGATCTCTTGTTAAGTAATGGGGTTCTTAAAATGTTTTTGCATCGGCGCACCGGATTTCGATTCAAAAAAAAAAAAAAAAAAAATCTGTTTTTGTGTTTTTGCTTCAAAAAAATCTCTGAATCTTCCCCGACCCCCGGGGCTGCTGCTACACGAAACCTTTATGACAGACCCTAGTTCCCTAGTTTAGTCCCTTCTCCGTGTGACTTCTCAACCCAATTCTGTCTCGTGTCGGTTCTATGGCAGTGCCTGCCTAGTGATGCCTGCCTTGGGGACGCCTGCCTGGTGATGGTGCCTGATGATGAGTTTTATCCCCCCCTCCCCCAGTCAGCCTTTATTTCATCAAGAAACGAGCATGCAACAGTATATTCTTACACTGAGAAGTGAATTTCATTTGAAAACGAACATAAGTAAGATAAGTGAACATAACAGTGTTGTAGCTCAAAATGGCAATGTTGAAAAAAAAAACCGCACAAAAAAAAAAACAAAACAAAAAACAAGCATGTAATTGCATAATTTTCACTAAAATATATTTTAAAGCAAATTTAATATGCGTGTATGGCTTAAACGAACATAAGTAAGATAAGAAAACATAACAGTGTTGTAGCTCAAAATGGCAATGTTGAAAAAAAAGACCGCACAAAAAAAAAAACAAAACAAAAAACAAGCATGTAATTGCATAATTTTCACTAAAATATATTTTAAAGCAAATTTAATATGCGTGTATGGCTGAAAAAAAATATTTCAATGTTCTAAAGAAATGCTGTTATTCGATAAAAGCATGTCTCTGGATTTGATGCTTAGCTAATACTCGGTCCTAAAGTACATTGACCTGCATACTTGCATAGATTGCTTATTACCGTTCAATATATCCAAAATTACCTTCAATATTTAGGTAAATAAAATTCATGATTTTTTAAATGCTTTTTTTCAGATTAAGTGCCTCAAGACCTTTCGAAAAATTTACTTTTCAACTATGCCAAAAGTTCAGTGTCAAGAGCAAATGTACGGGAGTTTTTGTAAGTAAGAAAGTAATTTACTAACTATTGATCAGCCCGTAGAGGACCAAAGAGATCCGCCATTTTCCCTCCCGATTCTTCAGTCTTAACTGACTCTAGCCCATTGTCCATAGTCTTCTAACATGAACTCCTTAATTCACAAGACTCTCATCACGACCCAAGGCCCTCCCATACGCATTATCTCCTCACCTCTCGTACAACTTCTCGACTTTAAACCTTACCCTCTCCGACTATAACAAAGATTGACCACCCCGTTAGCCCCCTGCCCCACTCTATTCTCTACTTATATACTCTATGATTCCTTTCCATTCTTTCCCCCAAAACGTTTTCATCGAGCTTCTTCTACAGAGCAGTTCACTTAAACTTTACGTGTAAACCCAATTACATTTACTTCCAAAATAGTCTATGAAGGTCACGCAAATATTTGCATCAGTCCAGAGTTAGTCAAAATTATGTAAACACTATACGCACTGTGTAATTTAATATATATTCCCCAAAGAAATTTGTAACCGAGCTGTTCGTGGTGTTGTTGCTGACTGATTATTTAAGTCTGTTTAACACCATGGCAAACATATTAAGACTGACATTTAAATCGTCATGGAGGCAAGATGTATGTTTTTTTTTAAAAGTAAGTGTTGACATAAATTTGATTAATGCTGTAAATATGTTTTGCTATTCAGGTTTAAGAAGAATAAAACCAATGATTTTTAAACGCTAATCAGCGTCTCTGTTAATGGTTTTGAAACCGATAACTAGTTGTTGAAACAACAAACCCACGACAGTAACTAGAGACCGACCGATGGTAATTTCTGGTTTCTATCGCAACCGAAACCGAAACCAAACCGAAAGTTAAAAAAACGACTTTCGGTCGAAACCGAAACCAACAGTTTCACGAGATTTTAGGCCAAAACCAAAAGATATATGATTAGGTATTTTGAAACTCGTTTGCGTACACGCTGATAAAATTTCATTATTTCTTTGTTTACATTTGTGCCCAAATAAGAGTCTAATTTGGCGAAAAATTGTCAAATGTTATTTCGTTATCAGTGGCAACCATTATCAGCGTGATAATGTTGAATGTGAACAAATGAATAAATTGAATAAGCCCCAGGGTTCCCTAATTATTATTTTTTCGTTAACTGAAATGTTATCATTCCCTATGCTTTTTTTTTCACAAAACTATTAACCTTGCCTACGCTTAATTTTAATTTCGGAAATATTGGACGCATAGGTTATCATGCAGCTGTGAGCCGTGCTCGCAAAGGATTAGTCGTATATCATACCATGACAGCAAGGCAGCGAGCAATAATGAATATCGCACTGCCGGTCGACAGACAGGCATAGTGACAGTCGGACTTCTGGTAGACGACCAAAAATCTACCGAGTGTTAACGTTTCTGTTTCATTCGAAACCGAAACTACACAGAAAATGATCATATGGCAACTTTCGGCACCAAAACAGAAAACCGAAACTGAATTTCGGTTGGTCTCAAACAGTAACATTCCTAACTGAATTAACTATGAGGGAGTAACTAATACAATTAAACTTCATTGACGTAGACAAAATTCAATTACAAAAAAGTCCCGTCTTCGAGTACTGACATGCAGTTGAAAACATTAAACCAAGATTTAATTTTAAACATTGTATGGTGCCTATTTTTTTTAACTAAAGCTTTTATGATCACTTTACGACATATGTATCAAACTCAAGGCCCGCGGGTCACATCCGGCCCGCCATACAATTATATCAAGCCCGCCAGGTCTTCACCGGCGTAAAACTATATCCAAGTCAACACTGTGGTGTTTTCCAATGCACACGTTGGTGATAAAGCTTAGCTTACTTCGCGCTGAGTTCGCACGGCGCTTTAGTGACTTTGAAGCAAAGAAAAGTAATTTCGAGCTGTTTCGTAACCCATTTGTCATAGACGAGAAAACTGCACCTGTAAATTTGCAGATGGAGCTAATAGAGCTGCAGTGTAATGGGACACTAAAGGCAAATTAGAACACAGTTGGACCTGCACAGTTCACTCGTTTCATTCCCGAAGAGATGCCCCAGCTTTGTCTACATGCGGCTCGAACCTTGAGCATGTTGCGTAGCATATATATGGGTGAGCAGCTGTTTTCTGTGATGAAGATTAACAAAGCATCACACAGGAGTCGTCTCACTGATGAACACATGCAGGTCATCATGAGAATCTCAATGACACAGAACGTTACTCCCAACATAAATGAACTTACTTGTTTTTGTAGCCCTGAAAATGTGCCAAACATCCAGCTCTGACAAATTGGCTTAAGAAAGAAAATTGGTATGCAAGGATTTTAAATTACTTTTTTTTTTCTGTTTTCATTTATATAAATATTTTTTTTCCCAAAAAGATACATTTCCCGCTTATTGAACGATGATCCTGTTCGGCCCGCAACCTTGTATGTGGTTTGAGTTTAGGTCCGCCGAGGGATTGAGTTAGACCTCCCTGCTTTTCGCACACAGTTATGTTTAGAATATTGAAAACAAAAACACGGGGCAGGAGAAAACATGACTAAATCTAAACACAAACTGAACACTATCGAAACACAAATCTGTTTGGGAAATTGTTCTGATTGGCTTTAGATAGCAAAGAAATTAGACAATTAAACGAAGTTTTTCGTATAAACCGTTTATAAAATTGAATATCGAGCCATGGGGAGTGGGCTGAAAATTTGACAAAACATGCGAAAATTGATACACTTCGTAAGAATCCCATTAGTTCCCCCCTTCAAGACGCGCAACTCCCACATTTTTTTCACTATATTAATATCCTAAGGACTCACCCGCTTTTACAATGTAGATTCATTTTACCAACAATTTTAGAAAAACAAAACAAAATTTATGCACGTAACGCACTTGTAATATTTTCTTTAAAAAAAGGAATCAATTATCAGAATTCGTTTTTAATCTTCCCTTTGAAAAAAAGTAAAAACTTACTTTTGGGTGTTGGGGTAGTGGAGTTGGGCTGGAAATCTGAAACAATGTGTTGTCGTTGGCAACAAGGGTATGTGCTAAGTTTCAGCTCGATAGGTTGATGGGACGTGGGTCAGTTAACCGTCCGAAAATTTTGCCCCCAGCCACACACAAAAGCGAGGTTAATATTAAGGATATAATAATTATAAAACAATAACACTCATTTGTGCTTACTAAAATAAATCAGTAGCTTCACTCTCAAACTCATGTATATGAAATGGCCGAAAAGTTGATTTTGAAGATAACAAAAATGCTCTATCGTTAAGCCTTATGTACTAAGATTTGAATTCATTTATGCATGAAATATAAGCTACTGGTAGCATGTGCTGTCAATTAACTAACGTCACAATGCACTGAATTTTTTTATTTTTTTTTTGTAGGGCTGTTTAGTAGAACCTCTCGAGATCTACCATTCTTTGGGAAATTCTAGTCAATTTGTTGACTCGAGCACCATCAAATATCAAGGTAACGACAGGTAAATATGCGTTTTTTTCCTGCTTAAGCTCTTGCTTCGAAGATCCATTTTATTTTATCGAGTTGAGGTTGAAAAAGTTCAAAATAGAACATTTGAGAGATTTTTGTGTGTGTTTTGTTCGAACAGTATCCTGCATTACGAGTGAATTAGCATATCACTCCATGGTGGATAAGTTGGCTATGGACATCAAAATTGTAAATGACGAAAATGCCTGCATGTCCGCTTTAAATATCTAGCCTGGGAATATCTAGATATAATATCTATTGGGATTTAAATTATTCCAGTATGCAGTTTTCCATAAATATCAAACACTTAGACTGTAGTCGTTGACGATCAACCGTGCATTTTCTTCAGTGTTAAGGCGTTTTCCATTTTATCCATACGAAATGGCAAGAACACTATATGCGAGAGTCTCAATTCAAGAACACTATATGCGAGAGTCTCAATGCAAGAATACTATATGTGAGAGTCTCAATGCAAGAACACTATATGCGAGAGTCTCAATACAAGAACACTATATGCGAGAGTCTCAATTCAGGAACACGATATGCGAGAGTCTCAATGCAAGAATACTATATGTGAGAGTCTCAATGCAAGAACACTATATGCGAGAGTCTCAATACAAGAACACTATATGCCAGAGTCTCAATAACAAAATCAAAACGAAAATGAAAGTGCTGGTGAAAGCATTCGTCAACAAATCCTCCCCCCCTCCCCCCCCCCGCCCCAAAAAAAAAAGCAACAACCCAAGTTCAGTTTTGGTTTCTCATTTGTGTCTTTTGATTTCAATAACAAAAACAAAACGAAAAGGAAAGTGCTGGTGAAAGCATTCGTCAACAAAGCCTCCCCCCCCCCCCCCCCCCGCCCCAAAAAAAAAAGCAACAACCCAAGTTCAGTTTTGGTTTCTCATTTGTGTCTTTTGATGCTTGTAAATATTTTTTTATGAAGAAAAACGTTTCCCCCTTCTTGACGACTTCCACTGAAACATCTTCAAGTGATAATACTTTTGTATCCTAATCTCTTAAATCAACTTCTCTTTCATGTTTTTTTTTATTTAGGTCTGCAGTTATAACACTGAAGTGTGACCCTAAAGCCGTTACAGACAGATTGACCTATGAAAGCAGTAAAAGGGATACATACGTAAGTTTATATATAACTACTGAGAGTTAAATTTTTATTTTGTTTTGAGAACTTTATAAATCGAGAAGAACCAGAAAGTCACTACAACAGTTACAGTAGTGGTCCCCGAACTTTTTGACTCGCAGAACCCCTTTTTAGAACCAGTTTCTATGGGGGAAGCTCCCCTTAATCGCGGGTAGGAGGTTCCTGAAGCAGCCGCAGAGCCCATGAGAATCACAGGCTGGGAACCACTGAGTTAAAGAATTAACGAATATCCGGACATTCTTATTTTGAGGAGCAAACCTGTGAACAAAGACACGAAATATGGACATTAAGATTCTATACATTTTCCATGTCTTTAGAAAATAAAGGAAAATGTTTCTGAAAAACAAACTAAATAAAATAACAAAAATGATTTTTTTTTAAGAAAGGGATATTGCATTGTATTATATCTAAACATATTTGCTGACAAACTGCATCTAGCTTAGACTGACAGCAATGAAGAGTAACGTCGGTGACACATGAATGTTTCATTTGTACTTTGATTGGTCAAGTCTTATTTTAGCTGCACGGTTTAGTTCAAAGCTTCAACCTGTTCAAGTTTCCTAGACACTTGAAAGAAACCAAAGTGACAATGTGCTTTAGCGTATGTCCAAAGTGTGCATTCTCTTCTTCAGAACTTTGTGCTCACAAGTAAATATGCGTGTGCTGAAACCTTGACGACTCCTGCCCAAAACGTTACCACAACGACAACAATCAAAACCACGACCAAAACCAACACGACGACAACCGCCACAACCAAAACCACGCCCAAAACCAACTCGACCACAGCCTCCACAACCAAAACCACCCCCAAAACCAACTCGACCACAGCCTCCACAACCAAAACCACGCCAAAAACCAACTCGACCACAGCCTCCACAACCAAAACCACGCCAGCTTCCAACTCGACGACGACAACGACGAAGTCGACCACTAAATCCAGCACGACGACACCAAAGACCACCATCACTACCCCGAAATCGTCCTCCAAGTCTTCCAGCACCACCCCCAAGGTGTCGTCAACAACAGTGACTACAAAGAAAGGGGCGGCCAGTACAGTCAGGTCAGTAGTTATGTCATAAAGTTATAGAGTCGTACATTCGTGGAAGTTATTCTTTCATCAACGGAATCAGTGCCCTCGACAGGGTTAGTGCGATCCGGGGTTGTTTAAGCTTTTTGCCAACGCCCTTACCTTTTTCCACGAAACCATCCCTCTCCAAAAATGCCTCCCTTACTATAAGGAGAAAAGTACCACCCCTTCCGCACACCCTCTGCCTACGCCCTTGCATGCGATACGAAAATAATAAGACAAAAACATTTCCCCAAAGGCCAAATCATCTTAAAAACATGAGGCCCACTTGTATTCTTCTTTAACTTTTATGAATTTTAATATTCCGAAAGTTGAGACACTTACAAAAACTCTTTGAGACCAAATTGAAGCTGAGATTTTTAATTATCAATCTCCAGGACCGAAACACATAGTTATTTGAAGAACTTGTTTTTAATAATATATTTTGCGAGAAATTAAGCAACCCCTAAAAACAAAGGTTTTTGTAATGAATCCTTTGTATTCTTTTGATTATCATTTCATGTATATTAATATCAGCGTGATAACCCGTGTCTTTGGTTGTCTATTCATTTGGGTCATAACATTATTATTTCCTTTTTTTTTTCTTTTTCTCCAGCACAATAACATTTGGCAGCATCCTTTTGGCCGTGATCTTGTCTTGGACGCTCCATTGAGACCAGGACATCAAATGGGCAATTTCAAAACTATAGCAAAGTCCACGTGTCCTTCAAATAGTGTAGCCGAGACAAAATCAAATAAAAGACGTGAATTCAATTAGCTAATTAATTTACGTTTCAAAACACAATTCTACCGCCCCTTTTTTCTTGCTTGTTTTTTGAAGACATCACTGCCGTATTTAAAAACACCTTGTTATGAACGACGTTAAACAATAAATTGACACATCATTCGCAGTAATGTACAAATAAAATAAAAATCTTTATGAAATATAATCATAAAATATGCTTGTTTAAGTATTTTCATTAAAATATGTAAGAGCAAACAAATGCTCTAAAAAAAAAAAAATAAACGAAATAAAATTATTCTTTCAATGGGCTAGTGCTACTACACAATTTCCTGTTGTTGTGTGTATTAAGTGAACTTTGTAACTCCTCCCTAGTTCACCGCGTGGTTAGTTAAAAACTGCTGACTGTTTTCATTACATACATCACTTTCAGCTATTTTAAGGGACACAACCAATGAATTCATTTTAAAGGGGACAATTTTTATATTATAATTTTAGCTGATAAATTTGTAAATGTATATAATTTAGAACCAAAGCACCAATGAATATTCTTTATTAAATATTGTAAAAATTGAGTAAGAAATTCGAACCAGCAAGTTTCTGATTTAAATAGACAATTGTAAATGGTAATTTTAAAGGTAATTTTAATTATAAATTGAACTCAAGGCATGCTATGTTGTTCTTGCCTCAATTAATTGTATTTGGAAAATTAATATCTTCAATTGGGATCCTCTCATTTTCGTCCTATTACAAGTCCTTGACTTGTCTCGTATTTGAGATAGATTGTAACTGAAATAGCTACACCAGGGAGTACATCCGGTCTTGCACAAAGTTAAGATTTTATCAAGAAATCCGGAAAATGGAAGGGAAATAAACCCTCTTATCCCTGATTAGTTAAACTTTCAGAATTCTAAACATCTAGTTTTTTTCTTTTAAATTCAAAATTATTATTTTCTTTATATACTCGCATATTACCACTAATGGTCACTACAAGCTAATACCCCTGTCATCTTCCTAGTTGAGTTAAATTAATAAGTTAAATAGCTCTGGTACAGTGTTTAAAGTTTTTTCCCACACATGGCACATCTCATGAACTCCTCTGTACACCACAAGAAAAATATGCAATTGTTTGGCTGGATTTTTGGTTCGATATTTGCTCCGGGAGCTCGATCTTCTCTAGTCTTTCGGGCACGAAAGCTCATTTAAGAGGGAAAAAAATATTTCAACGTTCAACATTTTCCCATAAATATTAAACGGTGCTGTTAATTCATCGACGAACATTATACTCATTCTATATGTTAGGATACATAGCTTATAATATAAAAATGATAATAATACTAATAATAATAATAAAATCTTTGGAGATAAAACAAATCGTTTTGATTTTCCTCGGGCTAAAAGAGAACAAAGCCCGTTTGCAGAGCACGACATTGTAGTAGAGATAACATTTTCCCATAAATATTAAACGGTGCTGTTAATTCATCGACGAACCTTATACTCATTCTATATGTTAGGATACATAGCTTATAATATAAAAATGATAATAATACTAATAATAATAATAAAATCTTTGGAGATAAAACAAATCGTTTTGATTTTCCTCGGGCTAAAAGAGAACAAAGCCCGTTTGCAGAGCACGACATTGTAGTAGAGATAACAATGACGATTTGTTTTTTTGTTCTCATCTTCACACTTTAGATAGCAGAGGGTAGATTGAGTTGGTTCAGATCAGTCCTGGTTCGCTTTCCTTTTAATTATATGTGTTAAAGCCTGCACTGTTGGTCTGCGCTTGTTATATTGTTAATTAAATAGATATATATCAATTGCTTAAAGTAATTGCTCAACATACATGGAATCGAATACATTTTAACTAAGCTAATAACTCTGTTTTTTAAAGATCTTGCTCAACACATGCATTGAATCGAATACAGTTTTAAGTATGCTAATAACTCTATTCTTTAAAGCATAAGGCATACGACCCTTAGGAATATTGAAAGAAAATAACTTTTCCCACCATAAAGTATAATTTTACTCTATATTCTTATTGCTTTTTTTTCCCTTCTATTATTAATACTTTTCTATTCATTTCTTTATAACTTTTTGAATAGATTCTATTTTCTTTATGTTATTGTGTTAATTAAAAAACAAAACGCTATTTTTCTGCAATTTCTTTTTTCTTTTTCTTTCTTTCGTGCCTTTTGTTTTTCTTTCCTACTTTTTCTTTTGTTTTTAAAACACTTTTCACTTTTTTTTTCTTTCATTCCTTTCTTTCTATTTTTCCCCCTTTCATTCAAAACTTAAGAGACCAAACAACAATTTTTAGAATAGGGTGCATATTTTGGTGGCTCCGAAAGGGGCCTTGAAAAAATTTTAAAGAAATATTATTAATAATAACATTTAAACAATTTGCTGCTGCGCCTGAGATTTACAATGCCGGCTTTTTAGACGCGTCACGGTAAGTGGTATGTCCGCTCTCGGTACAACTGTAGTTTCAGTTTCGGTTCGTGGTTCGTTGTCTTCGCCGTGATGATTGGTTTCTGCTCGTTGTCATGGTGAAGTGGTGAGGACTGTCCCCGTGATTTACGTGTATGGCAGGAGTCCGCCGTTCCAAGAATCTCTGGAGGTCGATCTCGACTGCCAAGATAACGCTCGTTAGCAGGAATATGTAGAGCGTCTGAAGCTGCGTCGGTTTCGATGGCGGCCTCTTGACTGCTCTATATGGAATAGCCACCGTCATAATTGGAGACGGCAGCATTTGTCTTGTTTCGGGTTGAACTTCAGCTTCCGCTACCTTGGTGACGTCCTCCTCAAACCGAGAGATGGTGGAGAAGTAGTCCGAAGATGCGGAATCACTTTCGGTGCCTGGCCTCAGTACTGAAGTAGACTTCTCAGGCTGCCTTCGCAATACAATAGATTACGCCGTGCTCGACGAGGTCTCATACGCTTATAAATTACAAAAATAAAAGTAGTGTTGTTAAAAGAGGGGGTGGGGGAGGTAAACGTGCATGTAGAGCAATAGTACAAAAAACAAAACCCTTAAGAAATGAGAAGAAAAAAATCTGAAACGAAAGGCAAGATCTTATAGTTCTTGACTGTGAGTGGACGTACAGGAGACCTTCGTTTTCAATACGTGTAGTTGAAAATGGCGTCATTAACAAGAACTGGTCGTATATTTGCACTTGGCGCATAGGTAATTAAGACAAGAATTCACATAGGAAAGACATTAATAAAAAAAGATTTGGTACGTGGACTCCATAGAGGGTAAGCCAAGTTAACAATTGTACATAGCTGCACCGTCTCTTTCCTGTTTGGTTTGTACACTGTACTTCTTACCACTTTTCTTCCGTTCTTCTGATATTTGTTTTAAATAGGGACATGGATGAAACTTATCGAAACAGGAATGGTGGGCACTCAACAGAATCGTGGAGCACTTTACGAAAATAGTGAGCAATTTACAGGAATGGTGAGCAGTTAACAGAAATGGTTAGCACTTGCCCAACTTAAACAATGTCAGGATATTGTTGTAAAACAAACAGACAAGGTTTGAGTTGTTGTTTTGGAAAGACAAAGATGATGCTGTTGCTGTTTTTGTTGTTTGGGGCAGACAAAGATGGTGTTGTTGTTGTTTTTGTGGTTTGGGACTGACAAAAATGGTGCTATTGTTGATTTTGTTGTTTGGGACAGACAAAGATGGTGCTGTTGTTATTTTTGTTGTTTGGGACAGACAAAGATGGTGCTGTTGTTTTTGTTGTTTGGGACAGACAAAGATGGTGCTGTTGTTGATTTTGTTGTTTGGGACAGACAAAGATGGTGCTGTTGTTGATTTTGTTGTTTGGGACAGACAAAGATGGTGCTGTTGTTGATTTTGTTGTTTGGGACAGACAAATATGGTGCTGTTGTTGATTTTGTTGTTTGTTACAGACAAAGATGGTGCTGTCATTTTTTTTTGTTTGGGGCAGACAAAGATGGTGTTGTTGTTATTTTTGTTGTTTGGGACAGACAAAGATGGTGCTGATGTTGATTTTGTTGTTTGGGACACACAAAGATGGTGCTGTTGTTGTTTTTGTAGTTTGGGACAGACAAAGGTGATGCTGTTGTTATTTTTGTTGTTTGGGACAGACAAAAATGCTGCTGTGTTATTTTTGTTGTTTAGGACGGACAAAGATGGTGCTGTTGTTGTTTTTGTTTTTTGGGACAGACAAAGATGGTGTTGTTGTTGATTTTGTTGTTTGGGACAGACAAAGATGGTGCAGTTGTTGTTTTTGTTGTTTGGGACAGACGAAGATGGTGCTGTTGTTGATTTTGTTGTTTGGGACACACAAAGATGGTGCTGTTGTTGTTTTTGATGTTTAGGATAACAAAATATACACTAAAGAAGCCCCCAAACAATTTCAGGAAGCAACCTTTGAGACCCCAAGGTCAAACGACGCCATTTCCCGGAATAATGAAACTGTCACTGACACTATAGGAGATCTTATTCATGGTGGCCGATGACCATCGTCTGCATCAAACTTACGAACTTATAATCTTGATCTCGGCAAACTACGTTTATCTTAGTTACAAAATATTCATAAGGAAGGAAATCCTGGAAGACCTATCGTCTCAGCCTGCTCTTGTCCCACTGAATTCATTTAGTATTTTATAGATATAATTTTCTAGCCCACCGTTTCAGTTTTGCAGTCTTACATCAAGGACAATTAGGCACATCATCAAACACTCTGGTCGTACCCAGCGAAACCCACTCCGTTTTTACACTGGACTTTTCTTCTTTCTGCATGTCATTTCCTCACACTGATGGGTGTCAACTCCTACAGTCTTCTTGGATTGATTACATTCGTCAAGTTCTTTTCACACGTTGAAGCGTCGTACTATTCCCACTAATCATTGAACAAATTCAACTCCTTTTCATAATACTTATAACTTTAATGTCTAATTAAATATAATACACATAACACGTGAATATAGCGCAGCTCGCTATCAGACCTAAATAATACACATCCTATCACTCCAAAGTTCCACTCAAGACTGCCGCACGACTCAAACATACGTCACAATACTGCATAGACAATACCTCACGAATCAGCATAAAATTACGTCATAGAGGCAATGACGGGAAGAGCTTTCAATAACTATTCAAGCGCGGGAAAAGCCTTCAACAACTAATGAACATAATATTGAGTCGCAACAATTACTAATGAACGCTCATACTCTTACAATAGGCTTAATGGAATCTCATTTTTCAAAATTATAGGATACCTAATCTTAAGCTTCCAGTTTCACAACTTCACTTTTTTTTTGTATTCAATGTGAACGTTTTTGATCAGAGAAACGGGTGTTGCAATGGGAACGAAAAAGGGAACTAGCTATGCCTCTTTACTTATGGGCTGGTTTAGATCCATCTGTGGAGAGAAAACTGTAAAGGTCCTTTCCCGGAATACAACAAAAGATATGTTGATGATTGCATAGGAAATACCAACATGGATGCATCACAACTACAATGTTTTATTGGCTTTATTGGGGATTTACCCCCATCAATAAAATTTACTTCAACAATCCGTAAAAAAAAATAGAGTCTAATTTTTGGACATCAAAATTAACCCAAATCAAGAAGATGATATCCACTTAAATGTATATAAAGATAATGTACAGTCATACGTTTCCTACAATATCATCCAGTTCTCAATCATGTAAATGTTTTATCCCTTTCTCTCAAAAGAAGACTTTAAAGCAATGGTAATAATTTTTTGGGAAAGAACGGCGGAAATATTGTATTTTTTCCGAATTAGGTTATATCCTGAGACAATTTTATAAACACCTTTCGCTCAAATTAAAGGTATCATGATACAGCTGTCACTCAAAATAAAGGTATCATGAGACAGCTGTCACTCAAATTAAACGTATCACGAGACAGCTTTCACTCAAAATAAAGGTATCATTAGACAGCTTTCAATCAAAATAAAGTTATCATGAAACAGCTGTCACTCAAAATAAAGGTATCATGAGACAGCTTTCACTCAAAATAAAGGTATCATGAGACAGGTGTCACTCAAATTAAAGGTATCATGAGACAGCTGTCACTCAAAATAAAGGTATCATGAGACAGCTGTCACTCAAAATAAAGGTATCATGAGACAGCTGTCACTCAACTTAAAGTTATCATGAGACAGCTTTCACTCAAATTAAAGGCATCATGAGACAGCTGTCACTCAAAATAAAGGTATCATGAGACAGCTGTCACTCAAAATAAAGGTATCATGAGACAGCTTTCACTCAAAATAAAGGTATCATGAGACAGCTTTCACTCAAATTAAAGGTATCATGAGACAGTTGTCACTCAAAGTAAAGGTATCATGAGACAGCTGTCACTCAAAATAAAGGTATCATGAGACAGCTTTCTGTCAAAATAAAGGTATTACCAGACAGGATTGGTTTTAAAGCAAATCATCCTGACAGTTGTTATAGGTTTAAATACATTGTCCTTTTTCATCCTCACAACCTCATTGCTCCATCCTTATGGCTGAACCTGTCACCAATGAGATCTTTTTATTTTTTTTTTAAATTAAAAAAATCCTCTTTTCGCTTTCCGAAGGACAGGAGCGGTACAGACATGCTTGTTAGAAGTAACCGCCATGTTAAAAAACGCCCTTTTTTTAAACCAGTGAGAAGAATTGTAAAAAAAAAAAATATATAAATAACATCAACATTACAAATTCATTTATCAACCCCGTGCAATTATACCATGGTATAATTAGCATGCTGGTACAAGTACAATGACCATGTTTGGTACAATTAACATGCCTGGTACAATAAACATGCTTGGTACAATTAACATGCTTGGTACAATTAACATGCTTGGTACAATTAACATGATTGGTATAATTATCTTTTTGTTCTTACAATTAACATGTTGTTATAATTAACATGTTGTTATAATTAACATGCTTGGTATAATTAACATGTTTGGTATAATTAACATGTTTGGTATAATTAACATGTTTGGTATAAATAACCTGTTTGGTATAATTAGCCTGTTTGGTATAATTAACCTGTTTGGTATAATTAACATGTTTGGTATAATTAACCTGTTTGGTAAAATTAACCTGTTTGGTATAATTAACCTGTTTGGTATAATTAGCCTGTTTGGTATAATTAACATGTTTGGTATAATTAACATGTTTGGTATAATTAACATGTTTGGTATAATTAACCTGTTTGGTATAATTAACATGTTTGGTATAATTAACCTGTTTGATATAATTAACCTGTTTGGTATAACTAACCTGTTTGGTATAATTAACATGTTTGGTATAATTAACATGTTTGGTATAATTAGCATGTTTGGTATAATTAACAATTTGGTATAATTAAAGTGTTTGTTTTTTTCCATGCCACTGTGTTTCGACTGATTGGTCACCACTCAGAGTTCGGACTTTGGATATTCTTTGTATGTAAACGTACCCCACGTAGTCAGTCAGTCCAGTGCCGGATCACTCCAACGACGACGTGCGTGGCGTCCGGTTGACCCTTGGCCCTTGACTTGGGATGTCCACAGATTAAACAATGTAATCTCGTCGTCTCCTGTCAACCCGGCGCAGCGCTCTTATCGTTCAATGAAAGGTTTTGTAAATGGTATTGGACTCGTCGCTGAGATAAACAGCGCTCTGATACGCACTGACCTTTGACCGGCCACCTGCGAATTTAAGATGATTTTAGGAAGATGTGTTTACAGGTCAATACAATGTGTGGCATTAAAGCCTTATTTCTTTCTTCTTCTTCTTTTTTTAAAAAAATTTTGGTGTACAAAAATATTCTTTACTTTGATTTATTTGAACTCTATTTATCGTACTATCAGCCAAAGCTTAAAAAAACACTAACGTTCAATATTCAATTATTTAATTGTCTAAAATTAAGTACAGTATTTTTATTTCTCAAGTTCTACATGTTTTCCCTTTGCAACAGTATACATTTTGTCCAATCCATTTTAAAATATAAAAAAAAAATTATTGAAAAGGAAAACTTAAAACAACTTGAATATATTCCCCCCTCCCCCCTCTCCCCCCCCCATTTCATGTATTTAGTGAGCCCCACTGCCACAATTTTTGCATCAAGCGTCCAGTTCTCGAGATGACTCTCAGCAGTGTTGATTCGAATCAAGCTGCACAGTCTATTTGATTGTGAGAGCGTAAACAACAAGCCGTTCTATCTCACGTACGGTCCGACTGATGGCTGGCGTGTTTGGCCCTCAGCATACCTGTCCGACGTCACCAGCCACCCCAAGTGGTCTCACGACTTCACTTATTATTGGTCGAAATTGATTTTTTTTTTTAAACGGATGTGTAACGGATGTTATTGTCTTATGTAAATCGTTTAAGAAACCTACTTTCAATTTTGTTACTGAGGTGGAATCAGTAATTTTTAGAAATCACCAAGGATTGACCGCTTGTACTAGGAAATCCTTTAAGAAAAGATTGAAAAAAAAAAAAAATAATTGATGTTAATTAAAATAGTTGATTTTATCAACTGTGGCTTTTAAATAACAAACCTAAGCTACATTCAAACAAAAATAAAGAAAATATGTGTCAGAATTTTTGCCTTCCACCTCTACGAAAAAATTCTGCAATTGGCCGGAAATTCTGCACACTCTTTAGAAAAAAAAGTACAAACCGGGGTCGGACGCCCCCTGCCCCCCCCCCACTCTTTTCACATCCCGTTTCTACGCCACTGAGAATAGTGATCTATTATGAATTGGAAAAAATGATAATTCGATATCACATTTTTTATCACAGAAAAACCTATTACAAAAAGCTCTAGATGTACAACAATGAAGTCATAGTTTAAATTAACACCAAACATCTCCGTCCTCATTTGTAGTTCTAAACATAGAGTCGAGATTTTAAAGAGAAGTCCTGTTATATTTTTTGTATCACATCTAGTTGTGTCCACTTACATTACATGCTGCGGTCGAATAATCCCCAATTTCACCTGTTGGGCCCGAAATCCAGCCCCCCCCCCCCCCCCCCCCAAACAAAAAAAAAAAAAAAAAAAAATAAGAACCGCTGTACTCTAATATTTGAAAAACGTTTTAGGTCACGCGATAACCCAAACCTTTTTCGATCACGTGGTCTTATAGCGTGGACACCATCAAAGCGATACGGACTTCTGATCTTCTTGTGTTAGTTCTTTTAAATTTCCTTAAAATTCTCCTCACAGTTTTACTGGTGTTATAGAGCGAAGTTTGTTTCATTAATAGATTCTAACTTTATTAGGTTTCACTTTACAGTCATCACACAGTAAAAAGAAAGAAAAAAAAATGTCCGAAATAAAAGGCTTGACGATTTTGATCGTGTTGATGACATTGGGGACAGTGACCATAGCACAAGACGCATGCATTGAGAGCAGACTCTGCTATTGCCAGAACTCGGACTCAACATTCATTGATCTCAACCCGATTGGGGCTAAAAGGTAAGGAGTGACAAATTAACTGGCTATTTTTAGCAAACTTAGCAAGTAGAAGGCTTTACAAACAAGCGTATGGAATGTCCTTAAACATTTAGTTGTAAATGTTGACATATCCTAAGCACATAGTATAACTTAAATTAGAACATGATAATATGTGCTACGTTAAAACACACACCCACATCGATTGGGTTTGTTGATACATTTGCCTAAATTTTGCGATTAAAAAAACCCAATATATTTGCATAAATATAGCAATTTATAAACATATTTTTGCATAAAAATGAGCGAGTAAAAATATTTTTTTGCATAAATTGAACAATTTTTAAATACATATTTTCATATGTGGAGAATTTAAAAATATGAGTGCATACATTGAAGCATATAGGTCATTAACAAGTGCATTTCTTTTTAAACGGGATGGAGGTACATGGTCTGTTCTTACAGAGTTGCATTCAAGCCCCGAAAACCAGTTAAATATATATAAATCAGCTGGCTAAATACGCTAACCACCGCAAAATCGGAAATACAATATCTTATAAATATTTCGCTTGTGGTGTGACTGCTTACATTTCCGGATTGCACGCTAACCAAGCTAATTTTTTTCTTTTAATAACGCAACTGCTTTTGGCGCGTTATAGTTTTTTTTTTCTTTCCGGGAAATGAAATCGGCTCAATTTAAATATGGTGTAATAAATATTCGGTTTATAAGTGGTTGGGAGATCAGAATATTTAATATAATTCGTGCAGTGACTTATCATGAGGGTAAGGGGTGTAGCCACAATTGGGAAACTTAAATGTGAGTTGCTTGAGTTAATGTTTTTGTCAAGTAACTTTAGTAGAAAGGAAGTTCACACATTGCTGTCGCCAATGTTTGGCCAGCTATAACTAGTACATATTAAAGCAGTTCGATGAATTTTGGAAGAAAAAAACCCCACACCTATAACAGCAGCATCTTTCCACAATTTGGTCAACGTGTGTTCTTGTCTTACTTTCAGACTTCAAACAAAGAAAGGCCTGCACACGTACGAACTTCAGCTGTGTGAACCCTTTGACCTGCAGGGAGGTTGCATTGGGGTATATGTAAGTAGGAGCTTTTACCTTTCTCAAAAACGAAATGTTATGGAGTGTACTTAAAACTAGGTCCTTTGTCACTTCTAACAAAAATGAAATGTTATGGAGTGTACTTAACTAGGTCCTTTGTCACTTCCAACAAAATTGTAATGTTATGGAGTGTACTTAACTAGGTCCTTTGTCACTTCTAACAAAAAAAAAATGTTTTGTATTGTATCCAAGTAGGACATTGGCAATTCTAAGTAAACAATGTTATGGAATGCACGACCCCGCCCCCCCCCCCACAACCACCCAAAAACATATATATTTTTTATGGGGATACGCAAGTAGACTTTTCACTTGAATTTTGATCGACAATCTGTCGTATGAGAGATGCCAGGTTTTTATGTTATGTGACATATTAGGTTAATTAAAATTAATTTATATAATTTGGCTATAATTTTGAGAATGTTTGCCATATATGTAAAGTTTTTTTTTTTTTAAATTAACGTAATTTTCACGAAGTGTGGGGTGTGTGTGTGTGTGTGAGAGAGAGAGAGAGAGAGAGAGAGAGAGAGAAAATGAGAGAGAGAGGGGGAATGTAAAATATATATGATTTTATATAGGAAAATATGCAGTCGTCCTATCTTAACGCTGATGATGGTATTTAAATCTAACTACCTCCATTGCTCACTAACTTTCCGTTCCTATTCATAAACGATTCAATCAAGTACAACAATGGAAAACGCCTCGCATCATAATCTGTACATTTTTGTTCAAATAAGCATGGGTATCTTATTACAAGGAAAATTATCTTTTGGAAAATATCAGATCTATATTTAAATCATAAAAAAAAATATATTTTTTTTAATCCTTTAAAATGTATAAGGGAGGGAAAAAAATTCTTTTATCGAAAGTTTAGGCGCTAGAAATGAATAAAACCATAGTAACGTACAGTGGAGGCAGATAACAGATAAAAGTAGGTCACATTTTTCAGATAGTGCGGTCGTCTAGTTATATTCAGGATTTTAAAATGGCCTTTTGACCTCAGATAGCGTTCACGAAATTTATCGAGTACATTGCGTTGACCGGCGTTCAATTTATATATTTCAGAAATTCCATAGTGGCATCTTGATCAGTCTTTCCCCACAATATACTGATCTCTGTTCATGGTGGCGCGCTATTAGTACGCAAATCATTTTTACGTCGTCGACATGGACAATTGAAAACCCTCTTCGCATAAATATTGATTAAGGCGATCGTGTGGATGAAGCGCTGGACTTGGGCCGTTCCAAAAAGAAACTCTGTGACAGCCGTGTCTAGGATAAATACCTGCTAATTTTTAAGTTCTATAAGTGGCCCTATGTCATTCAGCAGCACGCACTCACTTTATGTTTTACTCGTTGTCCCATTGATGTCTTAATATATATATATATAGTCTTAATATATATATATATATATTGATTTTCGAATTGTTCTTTTTGATTCGAGGGCCTCCTTTCGAGTAACGTCTGCCTTTTTCACTCCTCCAAACACTGCTGTACGCCAGTTGGAGCGATGTTCGGCTATGAACTCCCATTCGTTTGTTTCAATATTGGCTTCCCTCATGCTTCGTTTGCAAACGTCAATAAATCTCAGGCGCGGTCGTCCAATATGTCTTGTCCCCTCTGCCAACTCTCCATACAGCAGTATCTTTGGGATACGTCCTTCCTCCATTCTCCGTACATGACCTAACCAGCGAGGGCGTCTCTTGATAATTTATGTATCGTTTTCTTCCGTTTTAGGGTTGTCAAATAAGGCAAATTCTCCCCAATTATGTTTCACTGGGCAATACAGCGCATTTCACAGACTCCATCAATATCACATACACAGGTGGAGACAGGTAGGTTGATGATAATCGTCCTACGTAAGTTTAAAAAAAAAAGCGAACACAATTCGAAAACTAAACACTTTGCTTCATTTGATGATTAAAGATTAGAAATAAAAGAGTTTATGATTCGATTGCTATCATACCTCAATCAAATATAAACATTGCCAGCATAAGTTTTGAAGAGAAGCTTAGCCGTTCAGTTATTTTTAACTATAATATGCAATGATATCTTTTTTAAAATAAATCTAAAAAAATTAAAAAATAAAGAGAGAGAGAGAGAGAGAGAAAGAAAGAGAGAGGGAAAGTGAGTGAGAGAGAGAGAGAGAGAGAGAGAGAGAGAGAGAGAGAGAGAGAGAGAGAGAGAGAGAGAGAGAGAGACAGTATGACATATAGATAAAAAAAAAAAAAAAAAAAAAAAAAAAAAAGAGAGAGAGAGAGAGAGAGAAAAAAAGAGAGAGAGAAAGAGAGAGAGAGAGAGAGAGAGAGAGAGAGAGAGAGAGAGAGAGAGAGAGAGAGAGAGAGAGAGAGAGAGAACGAGACATTATGACCTTTAGAAAATGGTAGCAATTTCATTTTTAATTGCATAAAACTATCGCTCTGACCATCCATCGCCGAAAGATCATGTCCCATTTTAACGTCATACACTACCTGAGGTATGTCTATCAAGAGGTACATTTATATCTTGTACTTTAAATTTGACATCTCAGTTTGCCTCCACATTCTACAAATCAATAGGCTTGAACACATTCACACATTCAATCTGCTTTCTTTTCCCCCGCAGTATCGCAATTGTTCAACTGCTGTGCAATGCCAAGGAAGAAGAAGCGAGTTTGGATTTTTTGAAGGAATCACCAAAGAAGACCTTCGTGAGTATTTTATAATGTATTATAATTGCCAGCAAGAACCCGGCATGCGTTGAAATGCCACTCAAAGAAAGGACGTGTTTGTGTTTTAGATACGTTTTTTTTTTTAAAGTAACTTTTACATAGACAATATGTTTTTGTTTTTTTCGTCTGGTGCTTGCACGAATAAGATTTGAAGGTTTTTCGGCGCGTAAGCAGGCCACATACAGCTGTTCAAATGAGAAGCGTTTTATCTTCAAAATTTAATCCACACACTTGTAGCGATTGATCAACATTGGCTCTGTTTAAAATTATATTTATATAGCTCATATACGAGAAAAATAATTTAAGGCCCCCGGCCCCAAACTGAATATTGTAAAATAATTTGCTACTAAATTAGAAACCTATTCAGGAGTGACACGCCAACGTCTTAGCGCAATCGGAAGAATGGTATAGGAACGAAAAGGAAATTATATTTGTATAACTCATTATACTGCAAATAAAAACGAATTTAGGGCCCCCTGCCCCAAAAACGAAATATTGTACTATGGTGGTACTAATTCAGAACCTACTTACTATGTAACATACAAACCGAAATGTCGCTCTTTGTGTTCGAAAAATTCCATCCACCTATGCAATAGCTCTGTTTGAAATTATGTAATTTTATATAGATCATATAAGAAAGACAAAGAATTTTGGGCCCCTGATTGAAAACGGAAGAATTTAAAATCATTGTAATAATTTAGAAAACATTTGCGGTAGTGCGCAAAACATAGCTGAAGATCACGCATCGTATCCGCCTTGAGCCGGGCCTGGGTACAGATTTTCGTGGATGTTAATTAATCATCGTTAAGGATCAAGGAATCTTTCCAAATCTACTGGATAAACATTTTATTTAGATAATATAATCGGCCCCAGTCCTGTTCTGTTAAAAAAATTAATTAAAATAAATAATAAATGTATATATATATAATCTTTAAATGAAATATTTTAATACTGCGGAAACATAAATAATGGTGATCAAAATGCAATGTTTTCAATCGTTATATTTTCACGACAGAATTTCCTTTTGCAAAGCAAGTACGCCTGTCCGCAATCTTTTCCAACCACCACTGCCTTTGCCCCAAGCGACTCTACTCAAGACACAACACAAACTGACTCGACAGCAGAACCAGGCGGATCAACTACAGCAACAAGCGAAGCAACAACGGGGGCAAGCGAATCAACTGCAGCTACAAGCGAATTAACAACAGAGGCAAGCGAGCCAACGGACACGACAAGTGAACGGACAACACAAGAAAGCGAAGCGACAACGGCAGCGAGCGAATCCACCACAGGCGCCAGTGGATCAACATCGGAAGCAACCGCCACGACGACTGCGGCGTCGGCCACCACTGACACAACACCAACCACCACACACGGTGGGGCGGGCAGTTTTAGGTACGTAGACGTCTACATAAGTAAGTGGTGGAGGAGGCTTGTCGTTTCTGCTACAAACGCAGGACGATGGATCAAATCTTACATTTTTAGTTAGACTCACTTAAAAAGAAAAACAAAACAAAAAACTCTTGACACCGGTGAAAGCACTCAAAATGCACCTTTAAAACGAGTTTCCTTTTAATTTAATTTGACTGATCAGCCATCATTTTTATCCAAAGCGAAATTAAAATTTTCTTTTAAGGGGTGTGTTCGCAAATTAGGTCACGCTCAGGGGGGAGGGGGGTGTGTGTGTCGAGAATTTGTGACGTAAAAACTGTTGTTTTTTTTTCAATCTAAAATTTTATAATTTTGAAAAATCTTTATTCCATTAAATTTAAAACATTAATTTTAGGTTGAAATTGCCTCGTGTATATAAAGTACCGTAAACTCTGTCGCGCACACATTCTGCGCATATCCAAAAAATGACATAAAAAAAATACTGTTGTGGCCATTTTACATTCGGCTCGGGGGAGGACTTCGTTGTTTTACGTTACAGTTTTCTAATAACACTACCTCTTAATCATCCACTATTGGGAAATGTTCAAGAATAAAGTAGTTAAGTTATGAAAATTGTATGTATGTTTTAAATTTTTTTAGTTGTGACATGACACTATGGGAGGAGGGGTAAAGAATTTGTGACACTTTGTGACAGTGGGGAGGAGGGTCTGAAAATTCAATTTTTGCGTGACGTAATTTGCGAACGAACCCTAAGTATTTTCGTCAAATTGAACTTTCAGCATAATCTCTTCTTTGTGAAATGCTTTTAAAAAAAAATAAATTTTTGTCATCCAATATTTCGGTCTCAATTTCGACAAAACTAATTAATATTCATTGTGTGATTGAATAATTGTATTTCTTTTAAACTCACATGCTCAAAAATTAATTTCAAAATATTTACATTGTCATCATATTATGAGGTATCGGGAGAGACGATAGGGCAATTTTTGTACATCCTCTTTCTGCAGTACCTTGACCATGGGCGCCATTCTCCTGCTGGCGTTGCTGTCCAGAGCGGTGCTGTAAAGCATCTGAAGTTTGTGTCTTTTGTTTAAAACTGCTGATGAACTGAGAACCTGGATTATTTGGATTGTCAAGATTTTTGGTATCATAGCATGCGCAGCTCGAATATGGATCTTTACAGACGGAAAGGACTTCATTATTTTATGATATTTAATCATTATATGATATTTAATAATTTTTTTTAAACATCCTTTGTGAAGTATTCATCTTAATGATTGGAGAGTTTTGTTGTAGCCCAATAGGAGTAAAAGAAAAGGTGGGGGGTGGGGGGTGGGGGAGTTCGCGGATTTCTTTAACTTAAGATAGCTATTTTGAATAGGAAAATACAATATTGAACAGAAAGCACTAAATCGATCTGTGCACAAGGGCGTTCTATGCACAAGGGTGACCAATGCACAAATGCAATCCATGCACAGGGGCCATCTATGCACAAGGGGGGCCAATGCACAAGGGTGATAAAACAATTATGGAAAAAGTCAACAGTCATCTCGGAATCTCCAGAAGTTTCACAAAATGCTTTTTTTTTTTTTTTTGGTCAGCCACATTTATCATTAGGATCCTGTGGCTTTCACATGCATATTAGCCTGGTCATTAGCCGTCATGGTGGCTTTCACATGCATATTAGCTTGGTCATTGGCCGTCATGGTGGCTTTCACATGCATATTAGCTTGGTCATTAGCCGTCATGGTGGCTTTCACATGCATATTAGCCTGGTCATTACCCGTCATGGTGGCTTTCACATGCATATTAACCTGGTCATTACCCGTCATGGTGGCTTTTACATGCATATTAGCCTGGTCATTACCCGTCATGGGCCTCTCTTCTCTGAAGCTTGATGTAAAGACCAACTAATGTAGAGCATCAAACTCTCCCCCTTCAATCAGCGTGTCCAGTATGCTATTATGACATCTTCTTTTTTATTTTGAGGGCCCACTATCAATGAATTTATCATTCAGGCTCCTATGTTTCAGAGGGATTCGCGATGTTACTGTGCATGTGTTTCAAAGGGATACTTCACTGGTTACAAGGGCTACTCAGCAGTGGTGTTAAGATCTGGGGGTTTGAATACAGGAGGCATGAGACACAAATGTGTCGAGTGTAGCCGCCTCAACTGTTGCTTTTGGAAGCTTGTTCCAGTCCCCTATTGTCTTCGGCAGGAAGGAGAAGCTCCTGTACTTTGTTCTGGGCCAGCCACCATAGCGCCACACCTATTGCCATCAGTAGGGCGCCCTTACAACACGTAACGCTAAAATGACGCCCTTAGGGGCTGATGGGTTCAACAAAGAAAAGTTACTGATAATATGCTGTAAAATAAAACGTTTATAGTTTACAAAAGATTTTTTTGTATGTACTCATACCCACCTCACTAAGACATTATATATTTTACTGCAATCCATTTATGTAAATGTATAACGATGTGAATATGTTCAAAGTGCTTTATTTAATAAAAAATCTTTTTTTACCAATATCATATTATGTTTTTTTGTATGAATATGAGCAAAATATCCGTATTTATAGGAGAATAAAATACATATTACGAGTGTTAATAATGAACTCGGAAACACAGATATTTTGTTCATGAAATTTCTTTTTACTAAGTTGATTTATAGATAGTAGTAGCAGTTTGATAAGCACATCTTGATCTACGTGCCGATGAATTATGAGGACAAAGTCTTATTGTTGTTTTAACTGATAAAACTACTATATTTCGGGGTATTTATTCATTTAAAATTTCATCCAACCGATGAGGAAGTTAGTAATCTGATAGTTATTGATTTTAAAGAAAATAATGTATAATTACATTTTTGGCCTCATCAAATTTGGCTTAGACATTATGGATTTTTGTAATAATTACGACATAGAAAGACATAAAATCAGAGAAACCAGCGCAATTTTTATTTGCGAACCTACATTTTTTAAAGATCGACCGTAAAATTGTCCCGTAAGATGAACCAAGTGAAAGCCTAAGAAAACACGATGTATTTTAACAACAACACACAAATGTATATAATCCTTAAGAAGTTGGCGCTTAAAAGTCGTATCTCTTTAATGTATCGATTGAAACAACAAAGATGCTAAAGGGTTTAGAATAGGGAGACATAAGGTCAGGGCCGACGCTAGGAGGAAGCGGGGCCTTGGGCAAACTTTAATTTTGCGGGGCCGTTGAGGTTATATATTCCACCGATAAGATATTAGGACACTTTATAGTCGTACTGGGGACTTGCTGGTCACAATGGGACGCGTCAAAACGGATATTTGTTCACTCGCTTAGTTTTCAAATATTGTGCTGACTGGTTTAGGAACTATTAGTAGGCTTAAGTATATTATAAATTTACTACGGCAACGCGCGGGGGGGGCCCGTCAACGTGGGGCCTTGGGCGGTCGCCCACTTCGCCATCCCCTAGCGCCGGCCCTGATGAGTTTTTTTGTTTGTTTGTTTGTTTTATATTGTAAAGAGAGCTCGGTTTCCACACGCGATGGAAACACCGCTGAGCAAATAGAGAGCAGCCAGCAGGTATAGAAATATTAATTTAGAATCACCGACCACTTCCGAAAAATTAAGTACTCGCGACAAATCAATCCCAGCCTCCTAAGCCGGCCACCACGGAGTTTCCCAGAGAGTTATCACCTGACATCTACCGTTACTTGATAACACAGACGATAGGACTCCATTGCCCTACATCGTGGTTGAGATCCGTGAAATGTCACACGACTGGTTATCTTTGTTACATTAAACCTATTGGGGGGGGGGGGGGGGGGTAAAAAAAACCAAAAAAAAAACACAAAAACCCCCCCAAAAAAAAAAAAAAAAAAAAAAAAAAAGAATTTCTTCAGTACCAAACCCATAAAATTAAACATACATTAGATAGGAAGAAATCGTTTGACTCCATGGTGCTATTTCTTTCTTTTAATATTAATAATTATGAAATGAATTATCTAGCAATAGCCCGCAAAACAATGGCGGCCGCAATACTTGAACTTTTCATCAACTCAAGAGACTTGACAACACATGCATTCAAGATGGCACTTTGTAAAATTCAAATAGACTACCAGCCCCACTTCGGTACAACACTCCATGAACTACCGTATTTTCCGGCGTAAAAGACGACCCCCTCCCCCCCCCCCTTTACTTTTCCTGTCAAAATATAGGTTTTGGACTAGAGACCGACCGAATTTCGGCTTCGGCTTCGGTTTCGATGCCGAAAGTGGCCATTTTATCACTTTCGGTCAAGTTTCGGCCGAAAGAGAAGAGTTAACTTTCATTTTTTTTGGTTTCGGCCGAAATTGACTTAGACTTTAAGCCATCCGGCAGAAAGTGACTGAGGTTTTCAGTCATCTAATTCTCAGCAAAAGCGATATTTAACAACAAACTAAGCGACATTTAAGAACAAACTAAACGATCTTTAAGAGCAAATTAAGCAATATTTAAGAACAAATAAAGTGATGTTTAAAGCGATATTTAAAAACAAATTAAGAGATCTTTGAGGACAAACTAAGCGATCTTTAATAAAAAAAAACTAAACGATCTTAAAGAACAAACTAAGTGATTTTTAAGAACGAACTAAATGATCGTTAAGAACAAAACAAATGATCTTTAATAGTAAACTAAATGATTTATAAGAATAAACTAAGTGATCTATAACAGAAAACTAAATGTTTTTAGGAATATACTAAAAGATCTTTAAGAACAAACTAATCGATCTTAAGGAACAAAATCAATTATCTGTAAGAACAAACTAAGCGATCTTTATGAAAAACTAAACGATTTTTAATAACAAACTAAAAGATCTATACAAACAAACTAAATGATCGTTAAGAACAAACTGAATGATATTTAAGAACAACTAAGTGATCTTTAAGAACAAACTTAGCGATCTTAAAAAACAAATAAACGATTTTTAACAACAAAAACTAAGAGATCTTTAAGAAAAAACTCAGCGATCTTTTTTGAGCAAACTAAATGATCTTTAATAACAAACTAAAAGATTTTTAAACAAAAACTAAGCGATCTTTAAGAACAAACTAAGCGATCTTAAGAAACAAAATAAACGATTTTTAACAACAAACTAAGCGATCTTTATGAACAAACTAAGCGATCTTTATGAACAAACTAACCGATCTTTAAGAGCAAATAAAGCGATCATTAACCAAAAACTGAACGATCTTTAATAAAAAAATAAACGATCTTTAAGAACAAACTAAACGATCTTTAACAACAAGATGTTATATTAGATGTTTATTTATTAATATTTACGATTATCTCATTTTTTATAAAAAGAATGTAAATATTTACACTTTCCCCCATCATTTTCGATGTATGCAGAATGTATGCGGGAACGAATTTCAAAATATCTAAATATTTCATTTTCAGTTTTGGCTTCGGTTTCGGCCGAAAGTCATTTTTAACTTTCAGCCTTTTTTCGGTTTCGGCCAAAAGTCATTTTCAAACTTTCGGCCTATTTTCGGTTTCGGCCGAAAGTTATTTTAAACTTTCGGCCTATTTTCGGCTTCGGCCGAAATCAGAAAATCACTTCCGGTCGGTCTCTAATTTTGACTATACTCACCGTATAAGACTACCCCTCTTTCAACGTCACCAAATAATAATTTTTTTTAATCACATTTGATTTCAATTAGGGGATTTTAATTCGAATGCTTTTGAAATGCAGGTACTTAACAGGAAAACTGTCACTTATTAACATCGAACTTGTAGGCATAAAACAGTGCGTTGTTTACGAACACTGTTAAATAAAGAATATATGTAGGATGAAAAATTTGTAAGTGAAAGGATATTTATAAACGTATAGTTTACTTCCTTAACCATTTCTACTTGTTTCAACTGGGCATAGATCGGCTGACTGCTATTTCGCGAAATCAATAATATTTCTGAAAGGGGCTCTTATTATAGCGTTCTTTGACAGAGAGATGATGCTTTCATTGCGATTAATCGATATGGGTTAGCAGTATGCATTGCGGCTTCAATGGTTGGAGCTTAAAAGAAATTAATTCCTTTAAAAAAGGAATCTCTAAAAAAAAAGGTACATATGGCTATAAAAATGTAAAGATCTCTTTTTTTGTAGTGGTCTATTTGTCCAGCCATTCGTTGAAGACTTTTTATTTTTAAAATCTACAGGAAAAAAAAATATTAACTTTCTTTTAAAATATGTTTGTGTTCTGCCTATAAACCTATAAGAAAATATCACTTTTTGCTGTATCCCAACAAACCATTACTCTTAAGACAATACAAAGTACATTTGTTAAAATACTTATCAAAACAACGGTGTTTTTCACATGTTCTGCCTGCTCAGTTGTTAGTAGCTAGTTTAAACCGTCTCCAAAAAAACATGGCTCTTGACAGGTTCTTGAAAAGAAATTTGGCTCTCAATTTTTTTTTTTAAATCGTCTTGTTGCTGATTTTTGGCTGTTTTGACTAATGAGTTTGCCGACTACTGTATTCGGATAATGTACAAAAGAGGTACGTAACCCGTCAAATTTACGATTAGAAATATTAACGTGGGTTAGTTCCCTTTCATCAGTGCTGTTTTACATAGTCCTAAGGTAAAACTGTTGAGTTCAAAGTATCTTTGGCGATTTTTCTTTTTTCTTTTTAAAAATGGGCTTCTAACTATCTAAATGAACATTTCATAATTAAGCTGAATAAAATTTGACTACCACCCTTAAATGGAGCTTGGCCTTATAAGACCAAAGCTACCAAATTTTATTGATGCATCTCACTGTTTATGAAAGTCATGAGTTTTTGAAAATTCCGGAACAGCGCAAAATTTTTCATTTAAGGCTCTCAAAAGTGTATTTCTTCACACCCGCTTGCTTCTAAAATAACAAAGTTGGCACTTTCAAAACTCTTACACACACATTTTAAAACAACACACATTCATCGAAAATGAAGGCAAAGCAAAAAATTGAGTAATATAGGAAATGGGAGACATTAATTAAGCTATGTTAAAAAAATATTTTTTTTAATTTTAAAGGGAAAATTCAAGCTTATCAGTGAGAAATTATTAGTTAAAGGTGAAAACAATATATATATTAAAGAAATATCACACAAATTGGTATTTTAAAGACCAAAAATTTGAGAAATATCCAGTAACTAAAAATAATTCATTTATAAAGGCGATTAAAAATGTTAGGAAACGACATTTAGTGCTTGAACAATCCCATGTTAACTTCCTGCTATTGTAAAATAAAATAAAATATCCTAGCAAGGCCTGTTCCTAAAAAATTAAGCCATTTCATAGATTCTTTAAAAAGTCGACGAACGATTTTCAGTTGACTATATTTCTATCGAACACATCTCCGGACGCAGTGAAAAACTAGGTTTGTCCATACAAACTGGTGAGATAAAAGCTTCCTGTCTTATATCGGTCACGTATCTGTCTTATATCTGTCTTATATAAGTATATAAATGATTTGTCTTTGAG